CGGTCCAACGTAATGCTTGCACGGAAGGCTTGTATCGTAAATTTCATGAAGAAATTAATGCTTCACGTTTCTCGTAGAATACTTTATGGCGCGTTGTTTCCACTCTGTTTGCACAAAGCACACCACAACGCCATGTGGCAGGGTAATGCATGGAATAATGCAGTTTAATGTGCTTTCATGTTTATTGAAAAAAAAAAATGAAAATACCGTGACGTATACAAAAACTAATGTATTCTTTTTTTTTTTTTTTTTTCTAGTACACTTTGTTCTCTGTGAGCAACCAAATATCCTGGAAAATACGATGAACATAATTTTTATTCTTTCAGCTATTGGGAAAGATTTTTTTGTCGTATGAATCCTACACCTTGTTTGAATAAAATTCTTATCGAGGCTACAAAATAATAAAGCATGAAGCTGATTGTAATTGTAAAATATTCTTATTCATCAATGTGATAAACTTGCTAAAGTATAGTCTAACGAGTTTACAGAAAAAACTTATTTAAACCTCGGGATGACGTTGGGCGTGGAGCACAAGAAAATAAGCAGTGCACGATCCCGCGTCACGCGTTGTCAGTGAGGAAAAAAAAAAAAAAAAAAAAAAGAAGTGTGCTGCGTAAGGCACTTAACGAGCCACTGCGCTGGTTTACTTTACGATTCGTCACCTCCTTGCCGCTTGAGATTCGATTCAACTTTGAGTTAGCGAGCTTCAGAGGGTGGCCATCCGAAACTGCGCTGGCAATCTTGGCAGCGGTGGCACCTCCTCCCCTTTGTTCTCTCCATCTCTGGCGTGAAATAAAGTGCATCAGCCCCTTACTCGTGCGCGCATGTAAATACGGACGCACGAGGGTGCCAAGGTGCGCGCGAGCGTTAAAGCTCCTTTGATTGCCGAGTTACGAGGACGAGTTTAATTGACGCTTTTTTAAATTAATGTACTTTAATGTTCTCGCGGCTGCTTTCTTTTCTCCCAAGTAGTTATAGCAGCGCAGCTTCGACGCCCTCGTGCGTTCTTTCACTGCCACGCGCGCGCACACGCGTTTAATTAATTAACGTGGAAGCAGCTGGTACGCGAGTTTTTTTTTTCCGTAAACGCGACTCTGTGACGTCGGCAAACTAAAGAAATTCTTTGGTTTCTTACGTGTTGTTGCGTCCCGTGCTCCCTGGCGTTTGCGCTTTTTTTTTTTTTAATTAGTAAGGTGCTAAATGCTTTATAATCACCGGCAGTGCAGCGGCAGATTAAGCTAGCGAGGAATTCTGAATGGACGATGGATTCTTTTTTCCTGTTTTTTTTTGTCGTTAGGCGAAATATTTATTTTATAAGAGCAATTAATTTTTCGTCAGCTAGAGTTAACGCAGGTACAGCAGAACTTTCCTTCTTGGAGATAAAATAATCTCTTTTGACATCAGATGCCCCCCTTTTTGCACTAATGAGCGTTTATGCAAACGCTCGCCGTAATATTTTGTTTTTTCCTTTCTCAGTGCTACTATCTGCCTTTTCTGTTTTTTTGACGCCGTGGTACTCAAACAGCTTTTTCCGAGCGGTTATAAGAAAAGCATTCCTCCTTGATGGGCAAAAATTTATCGGGGCGTGAAATCGTGGTAGCTCTTGAATGACTAAATTAAAATATTTCACAATATTTATAATTAATGCGGAAAAAATCTATTTAATTTAAATTTTTGAAAAAATAGCAGTTCAGTAGTTCAAAATAACGAAAATAGAAAAAAAAGCGTACGAAAAAAACCTTTTTCTTTGTTTGGTACAGCTCATTTGATCACTTGCAATCCAACTAAGGCTAAAGGGTCAGAAGGTACAAATAAGTGCTGTACACTTTATAAGCTGATTCGCGGGACGAACCGAATGTCGCGAGCCGGTGTATAATACGTATACGTATACATATACTACGCGCCTCTTTGGCTGTGCAGCGACTCTCCCTCTTTTACTATGGCAATTCCGTGTTCGGCTGGTCAGCTCTTCCAACTATACCGTTGCTACTACTAGACCCTATATACGTGCACATACGGTAAATCACGGAGTCACCGCAGATCCAATTATCAAATTGTCCTCTGCTCTTACACTGGGTGCAGTACTTTGGCGCTTATTGCATATATTATACTCGAGTCGATGGTGCCTTTACTTACCTCCGTACTACTGCCTGGGCTATCTAAGAAACAGGGTGTCGCAGGAGTTTACTGTAGGAATAAGAAAGGAGATGCTACGGTAGAGAGAAACCGCGTGAGATTTATCGCCCACGAGAGGACGGGCGCTAGCAAGCTGCGAACGATCGTTCGAGTCTTGGCGGTGACCCGTTCACTGCTTCTTAATCAGTATAACTTCCGGAAATTGAGAAACTTCGAGGGTATTTGTTATCGTTTGGATGTGCTAAGACGACGTGATTCAATTAGCAGTAAGAGATTGAGATCAGACTTAGTAAGAAATTGCAACCTTAACAAAGACTTTTAGAGGACTGATATTTTTTTAAAAAAATTCAATCCATTATAATGGGAGTAATTTCATGAAAAATTGTTGATTTGATATGCTCAGAATATTATCTCTTATTTTTAGTGTAAATTTAACTACGACTGTTGTTCAGATGATGGACTAATCTGTACCAGTGATACCAATGAATGTTAAATGGTACTTGATTTCAAAGGCATACGATACCACTTAGGTTAGATGTATAGAATATAATTTGATGAGATTCAAAGCAATTAAATTAAATTTCCATCAATATTTCCGCAAATGATTGTGACATGATTTTTTTTTAAGTTATATTTAGGCGTCTTATATGCAAGCAGTAAAGTAATAATAATCAAGGAAATGTTTGTCAGTTTTTTAGTCTAGTTTATTTTAATTCTTCCAACAACCTTCCCTCATTTTCATAGACTGATAATATTAAAAATATTTTCGGTTTTTAATTATCTATAAAAAAGTAAGGAAAAGACCAAAAAAAATATGAATATTTTCAAACATGGGTTTTTCTTGTTTTATTGTGATTCTAAATGTAAACATTTCCTATTATTGTTCACTAAAATTATTGTCATACTATGTACTAAAAATCTTAATATCGAGAGAAAGAGCGAGCAGCTATGAGGTAAATGTTTGCGTCATAAATATATTGTTACTCATGAAATTATATTCTAGGATCTAATCTTTAAAGCACTTTGAAAACCAAACAGCCGAAATTTTTGACTGCAACACGTATCCGTCGGTAAATCTAACTAATTGACGTGGACCTTAATTAAGGCACGCTGCACGTGTGAAAGGTATACGCGAGGGGGTAAACGGATAGAATGCCAACGAAAATGTTATGTGCAAACGGGTCGCACAGCAGTATAGCAGCGTCTCATCTAACTCCTCGCACGGCCCTGCGGATATATACCTATAGGTACAACAAATTGGAACCATTGGCATGTTAACGGGGGCGGAGGTCAACGAACAGCGGGGAAAGAGGAGCGAGCGGTCCTGGCCAAAAATATTGGGACGAGCTTCCGAAGCCGTTGAGGAAGCTTCGCATACTCCCCCGGGAAATATCAATTGAATCAATTTCGGAAGCGGTTTTCGGCGTGACGCTCCACGCGCTGATGACAGGTATTGCCCGGTCTGGTATTATTACACGGGGACAGGTGTGCCGTTTTGTACCTTTACATGTCTGTGGACGTTGTGTCTATGGATGATCATGTCGCGGAATATTACAAGTGCATTGGTACTCACTATAGTCACAACCAGATAAATACTTATCTCGGATCTGTTGTTGTACAAGTTTGCTTTAGTGCCACGTGTTTTACCGTGAACTCGCTCTCCTGTGCATCTTGAAGCTAACAAAAAGCAAAAGAATCATTTTGCAGTATGTGAAATAACTGCATAACTTCAGAGTAATTGAAATCAAAAAACCCTATACGTCAAAAAGATAACAACTAAGTTAATAAATTTCCATGAGACGTGTTCACAACAACCATACGTTCAAATACACTTAAGCGTAAATTTATTTGGAAAAATTATGAAAATTTTAGAAGGAAGATTTATATTGATTGAGAAAAATTTGTAGAATATCATTATCGGTTAATCTCACATGAAAATTCCAATAAAATTCTGAATAGACATTTAATAATTTTTATTTGGTGCAAATTTTAACTTTTACTAAAGACATGCGAAGAGTCCTAAGTTGTAGAATAGGGATTTTTGGTACAAACAATTGAATAAAAGATGCTACAAACGTTATTTGCGTGATGACATCTTCAAACACGCTATGAATTATTTACAATTTTTTATGCATAAAAAAGTTGTGAAGTCTCTTTAGAGTTTGAAAATATTTTTGTAACGTACGATGTACCTTTCCCACGTAACATATGTATTGTATAGTATAAAAATGATTTAAATCTTTTTAAAAGTTTTAAATCATTCTTTTTTACTATACACATTTTTTGTTTCATCGTTCGTAGATCTATTGTTTTATATTTAAATTATAACGACTCAAAATTTCGACATAATATTAAAAAACTTGAACCAATTGAATTCTCTTTAGCTGTTTATGTAAATCATTTTTATAATGAATGATATATCGATTTGCGTGAGCGATATTTTTTATGATTGATAACACTCGAATTTTTTTCGAGTTATAAGCTATAATCTTTAATTATCAAACATTGATATAGAATTTTGGCCTTTGTAAAGTGTAATAAATCAATGCATAGATAATAAGCGATTGCTTTTATTTTGATTGGGCTTGTTTATATAAATCATATTTTTGAATACAGCTGTAGCTCTGAACGTAAAAACAATTGAAACTGTGCAATTATAAATGAGTAATAAATAAGGTTGATTCATAGTGACTTATAAAAGTAGTATTGATGTGTGCGTACGTGTGTACGTTTATAAAATTTTATATGTAAAAAAATACGTGCTATCGTAGGGTACTTGTAAAGAGTGATAAATAAGATAAGATTCCAAATGTAAAAGTCATAGAGCTTTCCCCCCAACAGAGTAAGCGTAATCGCATTATTTACCAATGATGATCAATATAAAAGGAAGACAGGTAAGAAAGAGATTATAAACCTGTGCAACATTCGCTCTGCGCAACACCGGTCATTGGAACAATTATAATGTAAGTAAATAATGAACGAATTAAATTTTTCATATAAACTCTGAATTAAAAATTTTATTTAAAAATCCATAGTAATTAAAACTTACTTTATTGTATCTCCCTCTTTTACTATGGCAATTCCGTGTTCGGCTGGTCAGCTCATTTGGGTTAATCACCCAAACACTTTATCTGCAGCTCCATACTTAATATTTCAAATGAAGTTGATGGAGAAATGTAGATATAAAAAAGTTGAAATAACATTTTTTTTTTAATTATATTGATGAAAATGTTTGATTTGAAAATTCTATTAATGCCTGGAATAAGTACGACCAAAAAATTAAAACTATTTAAGATAATTTCCTTGCTTCAAGTAATATAAAGTTTTGTTTAATTTTTATCGATTTAGATTCACACAAAAAAATTTAAATGCGTACAGGTATTTTTATAAAAAAAATATATATATTTATGAGTAATTAATCACTTACAATTAGAAATAAAAAAATCTTTTCATCAAATACATAAAAATTGGATTTCACAGACTTAAAAATGTCGAAAGTCATTTTACTGCTCTTCACCGTTTTTTTGATGGTAAGCTTCGTTGTGGCTCAAGGTGCCTCAACTGCAGCTCCAATGTGTAAACCAGGAGGTCGTATCGTAAGTTTCATTCGTGTTAATGGTTCTATATATTTATTTTGTACGTTGCCATTACAATTTTCACAATTCTCTGTTTATTGTAGTGCTCTTCAGATACTGAGTGTTGCGTCGGGCTTATATGTAATCCTTGGGCCGGCAGATGCACCAAGCCAAAAACTACTACTGCTGCGCCAGCTCCCAGCAAGAGTGGGAACTTTGTTTAAAAAAAAAAGTTACAATGTATTTAATATCTTTGTGTTCTACTGATGAGTTAAACACAAGTTCTAAAGCATACAATGTTTTTTTTTCTAACATGTCGAAGTTATACTCGTCTTCGTGAAATCCAATAAAATACCATAAGCATGACAGATTAATTGGATGTATTTAGTGTTCTTATTTGATTCCAATATCTCATTCATCATTTCCATGCGAATATTCTAAATTCTAAGTTTTTGTTTACCACGATAGCAGTATTTTTCAATTTTTTTTTTTTTTTTATTGTAAGATTTTAGTGATTCTTATTTTTCTTACAATCTGTAGTAAATAGCAGAGCCCTGATTAAGAACAGCATGCAATTTAACCTTGGATAGTTTATGCATCAATAAAATACAAGCGAATGAAAAAAAAGTTCTTAATTTGTAATATCAAGGAGTTTTTTTATCGTAGAGATAAATTTTTCAAAGTTTACTTCATGAATATTTGTTAAAAATGAAAAAACTATAACTACAGTATATAAAAACATGGCAGTTGCATTACACGCTCAATTGATAATTTATCTCACATTTAAGAAAATCAAAAACTTGTTTTGAAAAAAAAATTCTCAGAACTGTTTTGAACAAGTATTTAATTTATGGAAGCAAATAAGAATTAAAAAATTAACTTTATTTTTTGTAACTCACTGAGCCAAACCAATGGGCTCAGTTGAGAAAGGAGAGATTCTTTGAAGCTTTGCATAACAATTTTATGAGAAACCAGATCACGCACTTACAATAACAACAGAGAAGCATTCAGATTGTCGGGATGAGTAATACATCGTGAGATCCAAAACTTTAGCATTCGTAGTATAAGAAGGAAACTCTCAACGAGGCAGACTCAGTTTATTTCCGACTACCGAGGAGTTTGTGTCTTACGTGATAACATTGCGGTTCATATTCTCTTGACACTACTAGTAAGTAGTTACAGTATTATTCTGTTAATATTATCTTTAAGAGTGCCCACGGATAATTTGAATCATTAGATATTCATTTCGAGTTTATGCAATTTGATAGTGAAATAATCCTACATAACTTGTTTCACTTGCCCCATGCGTCACTTTGACATCATTTTTTAAACAGCTATTCATGTTAACTACAGGAAGAAATTTTTATTCTCATTGCTTAGTTAACAGTTGGGAATAAGAAAATTGAAATAATACGTAGTTGAAATATTTTGATTCGTTTATTGCTTGAATAATCGTAGTTATCTGATCAACTCATGGCATCTTAAATTAACTACATTTTCGTTACATTACAATAGTCAATATTTCAAGAAATAACAATGAACCATTTTGGTTATATAAAAGTTACAATCTGATGAGTATATCAAACAAAATCAAAAATAAGTGTTGTAAAAACTTTTTTCTGGAAATTTTATTTTGAAGAATTTTGTCGTTTAAAAGTTATTAACTCAATGTTCATTCTATTGCAGAGAAAATACTTGAAGCTCGTCAAAATGTTCAAGATTATTCTGTTCGCACTTGCTGCCTTATTAGTTACTACTCTAATCTCGGGAGCCACTCTTGATAAAAAGCATGGACGACATGGTGATATCGTAAGTTAAAAGTTTAATTCAGAACACAAATAAGTACATTTTTTTAAATTATCATCTTCAGTGAGAGAAAAAATATCACTAGCAAAGTGGAGTTAATTCTTTTTTTTTTTTTTTTTTGATGTTTTCTTTGGTAACACCAAATTGGAATATCTATTATAATAGTTTAAAATAATAATGAAATTATAAATACCAGTGATAACAACAACAGTCAAAGAATATTCAAAAAGTTTTTAATTTATTTTTTCTTCATCTTTTACGATCTAAGAAGTATGATTAAATAAGTTTAAAACTGTGTCTTTTCACATAATTTTCTGACAAAGTGTGTAGCATGCTAATTCAGATTTTGTAATATCATTCCACAAGATAATATTGTAGTGAATTACAGATTTGATTTAATTAACTGATTATAAATCACACAGGTTTATTAAGAAATCATACAAAATGTAAACAATTATCAGAGGAGTGATTAATTTAAATATTACTGATGAACAAATTTATATTAAATTTCAGTGTACTTCGCAAAAAGATTGCGGTGTAGATATCGAAGGTAAACAACTGTCATGCAACCGTTATGCCAATAGATGTCAAATTCAAATTACTGCGGAGGACCTCATAAGACAAAAAAGTAAGCTTAAACATGTTGAACCGCATCAAAGGAAAGGATATACTGACATCTATTCGAAGTAATTTACTGTGAAATTTTTTTTTTTTTTATGATTATTACTCGTGCTTTAGTAATGAATGAGAAAATAATTGTGATCGTATGACACCGGAATTAAATCTCAACATAATACATTTGTATAATAGACTGATAATTTTACATACTCATATTTTGTTTTTTGTTTTTGATTTTTTTTTTTAAAGAAGGTTTAGAAATAGTGATGAAAGATTAAATAAAAAAGAATTTTTCAACGACATATTTTTTATTACATCACAGCCATAAATTAATAAATTGTATTATTCTTCAATTGGTAAGCTGATGATATTTAACATTCAGATCTTGTCTTTGGTAGAAAATTCATCTTCACTGAATTATTAGCTGAACCACAAGAACATCCGTGAACTACATTGACTTATCTGTTGTCAGTAGATATATCGAGCTTACTTTTTCCGCATGGTTTTTCCGAGAATGTTTCCACAATATACGCTTGTCGAACGATAACTGAACTTGTTTTCAAACACTTCTTGAACCGCAATGGGAAAATTTACGGACAAAATTTTGATAAAGCATTATCTAAGTTCATTTCATTCGACCGTATAACGTAGATATCTTTTTATTCCCATTTGTTAATAATAAGTCGCAGTTGCAGAAGTTTTAACAAAAGATTTAAAAAAGTATAATATTTTCAAAGCAGCAAGAATCAAAGGTCTTATTATATGAAATAGCATCCAATAATTTTTCAACAACTGATGTGTTTGAGGCCCCACGGGTGTCTATACTACGAATGTATATCTGTTTATACAAAAGCAACGAGCATATCAGACGAGCAAATTGCTACAGCCCCAGCGAAAGTCTTTTCAGAGTGGAAAAGTAGTTTGAGTTTAAGGCAAAGACTAAAAGCTTCTTTTCATTTGTCGTATGGTCTCGTGCAAATTGTGAGTGAGAGCCACGACTTCTACGCTTCTTTACTCGTCGTCGACGGCTCTCTTTTCCCTCGTTTTTCGCTCTCATTAGCGCCGACTTTAGTTAAGCGTTTCAGAAGGAGTTTGGCCTTTTTCTCCGCGACTGTGCTTTTGACCGTTGTCCTTCCCTCTCTCCCCTGCTTTCCTTGACCGCTGCTACCTACGTTATACTCAGCGACGAGAGCCTCTTTCTCTCTTGATTCTTGAAGATTTGCAAGCCAGTCACTGCTCACTTTTATTATCACATTGCAGAGTGGCTTTCCTTATGAAGCAATGGTAACTCGGATTTCTTGATCATTAGTGCGCAAAAGTGGTCTCTGCTTGTTCTCATTTGGTTTCCGTCTTTTTGTTTGCAAAGAGAAAGAACTTGCCTTTTTTTCTTTTTAACGGTAAGGTCTCTCGGAAGGTTTAATCAACGAGACACATTATCCTTGTTCCAAGAGTTGTACTATTATTCTGTGTGTGTGTATTTGTAGTACATTTCTATTAAAACTTGTCAAAGTTTGTTTCTGCCGGTGCATGAAGTACTTCTTTTGAAAAAAAAAAAAAAAAAACATATACACAAGCAACTAGCCGCACGTACACCCCTGTACATACGGTAACGAAATTTTTCACCATCGATGCATTAACTTATCGAATAACAACCAAACAAAAAAAAAAAAAAAAAAAAAAAAAACATATACACTGTTTGTCTCATTGACTCACCAATCTTGGTGGAATCAGATAAACGGAAGCAAAACAAGCGCTGAATCATACTCTCATGAAAGCAAAGGTGAGAACCAAAATGACCTTGCAGTGTACCCTCGCGGGTATAATTATACTTACATCATATCTCCGTCTTCGTCACTTGAAAAATAGTGTGTCAGAGGAACGAGCCACTTTTCGAAGAGGAAGCGCCTCGAGAATTTTTCACGCTCCCATCCAGCCATTCACGCGTATAAGTCAGCCAGAAACGGCTACATAAGTACAACGGCGACGACAATGCAAACACGGAAGGCTCGCAAGCTCAAGGGAGTCGTTCGAGTGTCGCTCAGCTTTCAAGCTGACAGCGTCGAAAGGTGCGATGGCTCTTATCTCCTCCCCTTTTTTTTTCCCAGGCGCTCTTTAGAATCCCGCCACGAGCTAAGTCACTTCACTCCACGTTGCAGCAGTTGCTGGTTGGCCCCTTTAACTCTCCGTGTGTATTTCTGCCCTTATCTGCAAAGAGCAAGGGAAGCTGCATGCACAGAGAGAAAGAGATAAAGAGTAGAGAGAAATAAAGCCACAATAGCCCCTTCCCTCCTCAAAAAGCAAAAAAAAAACAAAAAAACAAAGTTTCCACGCGGTGATATATGAAAACACTGTGAAGTAAGCCGCGGAACACACGCAGCAAATGTGCTGAGGCTTGCAAGCTCTTTTCCGCGAAAGATGAGGGAAAGGGCAAGCCAAGTCGTTGTTTACTCTGTACCCCAAAAAAGCTCACTTCTACATGTGTAGGGGGGGAAAAAAAAACATGTGTGGGTGTACGCGTACCAGAGTTTTGGTCTTCTCGTGTTCTCCGTGTTTGATTCTCGACGGAATCGCGACTGAAAAAAAAAACGAGTCGAGAGGTGGTTGGTGTGTGCAGTCATAGGAGCAGCTTATGAGGTCATTGAGAGCACACGCGCTTCTCTTAAAAAAACAACTGCACGCACGAGGCTTTTTGCCAAGGCCTGGGAAAGATCGACTGAGTTTTTTGTTTGTTTGACATTCGTACCTGATTGTGATTGTTAAGTAGAATTTTTCAAACCAACATGATCGTCGGTGCTAAATCACGAAGATACAAACTAGTTTTTTTCTAAACACGTCAAGGTAAAATGATGAATTTGGCAGGTTGCTTACTTCATGACTTTGGGGAAGCAATGACGTACAAGTTTAATGGCCAGTAACGTCGTAAGGTGATAATATAAGCCGAGACGGTTCGCGTGGTATAGTTGCGAACATTGTATTAACCTTGGCGTTTTCCCGGCACTGCGATGCGAGTATAAGCCTTGGCAGCCCCTCTGTATGGCACGGGCAACAGGATCGCCAGCGTCTTATCGAGATAAACATAAATTCGTGTATGGTTTGCAGTGGCGTTTCGTGCTCGGAATCTCGAAAGCGCCGTCGAGACCTTGATTGGTCAAGTTTCGCAGGGGGAACTATACTGCCGTTGCGAGAGGCGACGAGATAATGTGCTCCAATTGAAGAGGTGTGATGCAACGCCAACTTGCCGTTGCGTAACTCGGGAGGATTCTTTTTTCTCGCCTGACTCATCGACAAGTCTTTATGTAACTGTGTCTTGCGTTACTACTGTACGCGCGAAGCGATTTTCTGTTTCACGATAAAAACGGCGTTTGTTTGTACGAACTTATCTTGTTTCTCGGCACTACGTTCAATATTTTTTTTATTTTCTCCATACACGTAGAGTTAATGGAAAATATAATCATTATGGAATACTCTTATCGGCATTGGTACGTTTTTCTTCTCTTTTTCTCTTTTTTTTTTTTTTTCTTTTATTTTTTCGNATTTCTACTTCTCTCCTCGTAGGCGGACATTTGGTACACCCCTCCCACGCGTCTCCAAAATATGCGCCTATATGGCCATTTCCACGCAAATCCACTCTTCTCCTCGTAGGCGCATACCCCTTTCATACTTCTCAAATAAAAAAAAATTTAAAAAATTGGCTCCTGGCTCAACGCTTGGCCACGACAGGGCGATTAAAACAGTAGAAAAAAATGGGCACACTCCGTAGTATTGCACTCAGCAATCTCCCAACTAATCTCTGCTAAGATGGCAGAGCGCTTGCTTCCCGCCTGGAGGGCTTGAACTCGAGACTCCACTCCTTCACTTTTTCCTGGGTAACTCTGGGGTAAATTTTATATGACCTAATCACTAGGATATTATACAAATAGGCTACTTGTTTATAGAATTTTGCCGTGGCATGCAAATATGCAGTTAATAATAGAAACAACGCTGCCTCAGAAGAGAGGGGTGGTGGATATGACTCTTTTATAGTAAAATCTTCCCCTTACTAATTAAGATTACAATAAATTATAGGAATAATTTAAATGAACCGATATGATGTGTAACGCTCCAAACACTCACATATAACAGAAAATAAGAGTGATGGTTGTTGGAACTGGTATATTTGCTCGAACGAAATGTTTGCTCGATTCTTCCATTGTAATGAGGAGGAAGCCAAGTAAATGAACAGTAAGTAAGAAAAAAAATTATAATACAATCACGAAAATTATTATTTCCCAACTGTTGCACTGTCCCAACTTGAAGGAAGATTTTTTAGGCGAAAGTTGTTATTGTCCATATGGACGTGCATTTTTGTATCAGTCAATCGCTTCTTTTTATAGCTCGTCAAATTATTTCCCACAAAATTACGTCCATTCTAACGATTCCCCGGACAAGATCCACATCTCACACGGTACATATGTAGTGTGCACTATCACGTCATCGGCACGTGAGTCCGTCGCATCCGTGTCTTTTATCCACATAGTACTTTGTGGAGTTGGAAAATGAGAAAAAAAGGGCAAACGAAATGGTGACATTTCGTGCCGAGGCCGTAGAAAAAAGCCGTTTTACGGAAATCGATGAAATATTTAAGCTCACCGGAGCAAAGTAAGGCACGAACGTACACATACCTCTAGCTTGGCAGTCACTATTATACCTGTGTGTGTGTGTGTGTGCACGCCACCTTGTGCCTTCGTTGGAACATCGTCGCCGAAGGATACAGCTCGCCGTACGTGACTGCAATCGCTGCATCGGATCAGGAAAAATTGCCCGAGCTAGGCGCCTCTCCCACTCATAAATACGATAAATAACGAATGACTCCCGACAATTTCATTCGCCGAGGACTCTTTTCTTTTTTTCTTCCCCCTTCCACCCCCATGCGCATCAAGGACACTTTCCGAGTGATGAGGGGAAATTAGTTGGGCACCATGAATTTTTAATCCTCGCGTGGACACCAAGGCTCGAGTGTCTTTCGAAATTACAGCGGAGGCTCTTTCATTTCTGTAATGACACGGCGCAGCGTGTGCCACTTTGCGATTGTTGAACGCCCTCTCGATCGACAACAAAAGAGAGGAGGAAGAATAAAAAAAAAGTTGCTGGTGTCAAAACGTTTTCCTCCCGATGTCCACTTGCGGGATAAAAATCACGCGCAAGCA